CTCTCTCTCTCTCTCTCTCTCTCTCTATATATATATATATAATGATCAATTTCTTAATGCCATTTAAACAGAAACTAGAAACTTAAAAAAAAACGCAAAAACAAATTGTATATCTTCAATCAAAGGTCATACAAAAATCTACGAAAGTTGTATGTACAATATTAAGTCCCTAATTGTAAAACAAAAGGTTACAATTGGGTGCGTTTAGGACTGAAAATATTCATTATCTCTAGTAGGTGTTAAAAGAGTATTTTCGAACAATACATACTTTTCAATAAATACGTTTTTCTCCGAGATTTGAAACAGATACGCAGATTGTTAAACTTATCGTATATTTATCGCAGTTGGTACCACGCAAAATGAACGGTTAATCCTAATAATATTATGTATATCAATTAAAATGATTGGTTGATAAAGAGGTTATTATCTTTATCAATTAACGTGATTGGTTGATACTACGGTTATTATGTTTATTAATTAAAATGATTGGTTGATAAAGAGGTTATTATCTTTATCAATTAAAGTGATTGGTTGATACTACGGTTATTATGTTTATTAATTAAAATGATTGGTTGATAAAGAGGTTATTATCTTTATCAATTAAAGTGATTGGTTGATACTACGGTTATTATGTTTATTAATTAAAATGATTGGTTGATACTAAGGTTATATATTAAAGTACTCATAATACTGAGTATATAAAAGGTATTAATCAAGAGCAAAAAAAAAAACATTTCAGAACCCACTTTCAAAGCGAAATTCCTAATCGATTTTTTCGATAGTTTAGGAAACAAAACATGCGAGTGGAATAATAATTAAAACACTTAAAAGCTCTCCTTCCATGTTTTGAAATATTTTTGTAAATGGTTTCAGTCTGACTGACCTCTTGCGGTTAATACCTAAAACCTTGTAAATTAGGTTGAATAAAAAAATTGTTAGATAAAACTGAAAAGAACGTAAATCGATGATTGACATTCTTAATTACAAAACCGATCTCTTTCTTACCTAAAAAAAACATGGCTTTGTTTACGGCCTTCATTTATCGCAGTTTTTATTTAAGCACACGTTTCACCAACAAACGATTTGTTGTACACGCTATTTTTCGTTTTGTTTGTTTTCTCACAACTTTAAAATGGATGTTTGTTTATTTGTTATTAAGCATAAAAACATACAATGGGATATGTATGTTGTGCCCACCACAAGCATCGAAACACGATTTGTAGCCCTCAGACTTACTGCTGAGCCATCGGAGGAGGATATTTCAAATAAACACAATAAAAATCGTTTCGTTAGTTCCACGGCTTCATTACCTTTCGGCGTTTAATAATTGTAAATACTGTTTTCTTAAGAAGCTTACGTTTCCCTATTCTCTCCCTTGATCATCAATAAACGTATTCTGAAAAATTCCTGGAAACAAGAAGAAGTAACTTCGCAGAAAGTTGTCAAATCCAGGTAAGATACCTACGAACTGCAGGGATTAGAAGCATTAAATTCCCTTGTTATGAAGTCCGAAAAGTGATAACCGAAAAAAGGAAGATAGACTAGCAAGTCAGGTTTAACAAACACCCTATAAACTCAGTCTGCTCTGCAGTTTCTGACTAGAAGAGAAGTGCTGAGAAGCCACTGAAGATCCAGGAGAGAAAGGCATCATTGATTCCCAAAGCAATTTGAGAACCTCTGATACGTCACCAAGCCACAAAAGCCTTCCAAGTCCTGAGTACTGCATTATTTTCTTAATGCATGCTGGAATATTTGTTGTTATCCACGACATTTGCGTATAGCTTAAACAGACTGATTCTGAATAAAATTATATCCAAGAATCAATAAATAGCCCTTTCAATTCTTATGAACTGTAAATAATAGGCCATTGTTATCTACAAAAAATAACGTCTTAAAAACAAAGAGGTAAAAAACTCAAAACACAAAACAACACGCACGCGCCCTGGATATATTCACATTTAAACAATGCAACGTATCTAGGATCAAAATATTTCAAAATCATTTTCCTTAGAGGTTTTTTAAAATTTTCTGATTGGCGAAATAATTTAAACTCCCAACTAAAGTAAGAGTAATAGCTTCTAGATGGCGCTCTTAAATAACCATTATCTCTAAAATGACTGTAAGTAATCTACGTATCACTAATAGCAAAATTTCGATTGCATTAAAAGAACATATAAACTACGGCAAATGGAAATAGGAGGGCTTAAAGACGATATTAATTGTCATTTATAAAGAACAATTATTACGAAATATGCTAGAACGTTCTGACAAGGTATTCAATATTCCGACGATGCGAAGCGCCAGCCAATAAGTAACATGTTGGAAGTTGACGTACGCGAGTTCCGAAGAAAAAACACACAATGTAAAGAATAGATCTAATGATATTCTGAAACTATCGAACTCCTTATATACAAATTATATATTCTGTGAGACGAAATAACCAAACAAAAATAAAAAGACAACGTAAGTAATGGCACGCTGTTTTTCTTTAGATTATCCTCAATTAACAAACAAGCTCCGTCACAATCTTCAAATCACGTGCCCTCATCGTCTTGTGACGCCTAGGTCCCGGTACTTCGCTAAGTCACATGAAAGCTTTCGTAACAAATTTGACTTCTTTTCCACGTAACCACTTATATATTAGCTGTCCAATCACAATATGAAGAACTCGGTACGTCACTAATAAAAAAAAAAGAGCTAGATTTGGAATTCCCTTTGAGGAAGTAATCGGATGTGGATATCCTGTTGAAACACTTCAAATTACGAAATTATCTATCGAACATAAAAATACACATCTTAAATGACTAATCGAGGTTTCTTTTAAGTTTTATCATTATGTTACGTGTCATTACTTACGTTCACAAGAAATATAAAAGTCCAAGAGTTGCATTTTAAACGTGTTTTTCTAACCTCTAAACTTAACAAGCAAAAGCTTTTTACAGAAGAAGGCCACGTGGATCGCCCACCCATAAACAAACCACTAAATATTTTTTTTTACTAAAACCAAAAGGCAGAAAACCTGAAACTTTTTCGAATTACTCTGGATATGGAAAAACCTGAAACGCAAGTGAAAACTGAGATGCGGTAGTGAGTCGAATTCCACCTGATCCCAATTTTAGGGGATTGAATCTCATCTGAGCCCAAGTTCAGTTCTTCCGAAAAACAAAACAAACAAAAAAACTAATGTCACAGGACAGTGTACCGTCTAAACCAGTGATTCTGAACGTGGGACGCACGCCCCACAGGGGGGCAATTTGAAAATGCTACAATAAGAAAATATTTACATTATATTATTATTATTTACCTTTTCAACACTAAATTTGTTTTTATATTAAGGGGCATCAAATTTTTGAGGTGTCGAGGTGGGGCATGGAGCAAAAAAAAGTTTAAGAACCACTGGTCTAAACAAACTTTTCTCACTTAACCTTTCTAAGTGAAAGACAAATTATGGAGGGTTATACAAGATCCAAAAATGGAAAGATACCAAATCAAACACTGAGCCATCGACAATGACTAATATCACCTATAACATTATAAGAAGAACAAGGAAATAGTTCTCAAAGTTTTTATGTAGTAGTTCCTCCCACCTCTTTTTTATAATATAATCTCCCAAGATGCACTTTTACAATAGAAATATGTTAATTAGAACTCGCTAAAACTTATAATAATAATAATAATAAAACTATATATAATTATTACTTTATAATTTTAACAAATGGTAAAAAAAGCTTCAGTAATTTACATTTGTTATTCACCTAGCAAATTCATTACCTGTTTTCTGTGTCCTTTCACCTCTTACTGTGATGTGTTGATCAATGTATTTAATAAACTTACTTCTAAGTAGTAATTGAATTACACGATAATTTAATTATTTGACTGTTATCCTTTTAATTTATGAAGTAAAGGTAGAAACGTTATATTATTTTACGCAATTAGTTTTATTCGTTGTAAAATATTTGTGTGTGTTTGTAAGTGGCAGTTTCGGTCATTTCCAGTGAAAGTATAAAATAATTCCGTTCCGAAGCATTGAAAAACATATTAGTAACAATATCAGAAAGTAAAATACCAAGTCAATTAAAAATGGCATGAAAATAACGTACAACTTGCACTGATAAAATATTTTTATTATGCTAGAGCAAAGCTACGCAATGGGTTATCTACACAGTCCGCTGCTGGGAATCGAATCTCGGATTTTAGCGCTGTACTTAACGCTGACCCACCTGGGAACTATTAAAATATAATAAAAAAAAACGGCGTAATACAAACAACAACCACGTCTCAAAGTACGGATTAGGGTTTCTCCTACCAATTGACTGTAGTTATCTTGGTTTACTCCCACCTCCTTACGTAACTATAGACAGCGGTGTCCGCGAGAACCGATCTGATTGACATTAATTTAACCTCATAATTTTCTCAAATGCTACTTAAGGTTTTAGTAATTTATATTCGTCGTTTACAAACAAAATTATTACCCAATTAGCGTCTTTCACCTTCACTACTTAAAGCGTGGTATTGATTAAAGCAATCAATAAACTCGCTACTATACGCTCTTCAAACTGTTATGAGTATTTGAGTACATGACTATTAAATTAAGATGATCAAAAATGTCTGATTGAATGAGATTGTACGATTTGAAATAAG